CAGCATCCGGACACGAAGCCAAACGCCCGATTGTGGTATCGCCCCAAATATTCCCGATGATTGCCACGCAAACAACGTTTGGTTGCGATGACACGGCAGCAGCATCTCCCCCCACTACCTCCTGAGAACTCTACACGTAACCCCCTACCAAGACAAAGAGCCCCCGTATAGCCTTAACAGACTTTTAGGGCAAGTGCTATTCGCGAGAACCTACGATGATGACCAGCACCACGCCAGGCAGCCTTTGTCTCTTTAGTGGCGATTATTACACACTGCACCGGGTACTCGTTTGAGGCCGAGTCAGCCTAGGGGAGGCCCAGGACGGGCTCGGTTCATCTTAGACGAGGTTCAGATAATCGTCACTGGGAATGGAACTCGGGTCGCCGAGTTTGTAGCTCAGCGGGCTAACCACTGCACCACCGCTCCCCTGCCTCCGCCACGACCTGATCCAGCCTGACCATCTCCCTCTGTCTACCTAGACCCAGCCCGTAACACTCCCCGATCTCTACCCCTCCCGTACCGTGGCACCTCCACACATACCCCGCCCTACCTCGCCCGACCTCTACACCTACCTCGCCCAGCCCAAGCCTTGCCTGGTGAGGTGTAGGTGACCGTGGCTGTTGCTCGTCACGGCGTGACGAGCGGTACCTGACAAAGCAGCCCCCCCTCAAACCCTCCCCGCACTCCGCCTCACCCCTCCCCGCGGTAAAACAAACTCCGTGAGTGCGCGCGGTTGGTAAGCGAATGACCGAATGACCGAATGACGAAGGGATGCGCGAGCGATCTCAGCGAGTGGGCGGGGGGGGGGGGTCGTTGCGCCGGTGCCGGCGAGGGAATCATTTTCACTGCAATCTTCCTCCACCCCCTCTCCCTCGTCCATCTGTGCTTCTCTCCCTCCCCAACCTCGCTTCGTGTTTTTCTTTCTGCTCGCCCCCCCCCCCCCGACGCCCGTCCCATAGCCCCGCCCCTCCCCCACAGCCCCGCCACCTCCCCCAGGCCGGGCGCTGAAATGCGCGGCGCAATTTCTCTGCTCGTTCCGTTCGCTCCTCGCCCCGCTCCGATTTCCATCCCCCGCATCTCCCACCCCCCCTCATCCCCCGGCTCCCCCTCCTCCCTCCCCCTCCTCCCTCCAGGCCTCCCGCGCGAACTGCCCCCCCCGCCCCACGAAGTGCCCCCCCCGCCCCATACCTCACATCCGAGCGCCGACCTCCTAAACGCATCCTTTACGATGCGTTTAGACCACGCTCACAAAATACTGCAATAAAATATCGGACTCCCAACCTTCCACACGCACACAACAATGTATATAGAACGGCTCGCAAGCATATTTAATACTACACGAAATAAATACTACACTTGAAAAATACCACACGAACAAAATACCACAACAGTACACTCACACAAGACGCTGTACTCACAAAACACTCATCACGACACTAACTACACAACCATAGAACAGCGTCATGCACACACACACGCCAGAGCTCACTCACAGCAGAGCTTACACGAGTGTTGATGTTTTTGACACCGTAGCAGGTACGCATTTTTCAGGCTGAGTTGACCTAGACGGCCAGCAGAACCCCTGAACACATATAGAGGACAAAGATCACCCATATAGTCTTAACAGACTTTTAAGGCAAGTGCTGTTAGCGACTAGCACCTATGAAGGCCGGCATGGCCGGGACCACGTCTTTCCGTCTTTGTCTCCCCACTGGCAATGTTTACACGCCGCACCACGTACTAATTTAGAGGCTGAGTTTACCTAGGGGAGACCCATGACTGATTCAGATAAAAGTCATTGTTGGCGGTGAGCGGGAATCAAACTCGGGTCGCCGGGTTCGTAGTGCAATACTATCGCTTCCCACCAGAACACACACACACAGGCAGACACACAGGCAGACACACACGTTGTAACTCTCAGTCCCACATCCACACACGTGCAGGTTTATGGAACACGGCAGACTCGACCACACGTGAATTCACGCGCGTCAACACACGCACGTGCACACAAAGATGCAGACGAAGATCACCCTTGTAGCCTTGTATACTTTTTGGGACAAGTCCTCTTAGCGAGTACCTATTAAGGCCGGCATTGCACTCGAGGGGTGAGTGGCGAGCATCACACCCGACCGCCTTTGTATCTCCAATGCTGTCGTTTACGCATCGCACCGGGCACTCCATTTAAGGCTGAGTTGACCTAATGGAGGCCCATGACAGTTAAAATATTCACTGTCGTCATTATTGGTTGTGAGTAGGAATCTAACTCGGGCGCCGCGTAGCGGGCGGACCACACAGGCAGCCGCACATTCACACAGTCACACGCACAGACACACACACAGGCAACCATACAAAACACGCACATTGACACACATTCACACACACAGACACACACACAGGCAACCATACAAAACACGCACATTGACACACACATTCACACACAGGCAACCGTACATTCACACACGCACACAGACGCACACAGGCAACCATGCAAAAATACGCACGCACACATAAACACACATCCACACACACACAGAGACGCACACATCCACCCACACATCCACAGACACACACACAGACACACACACAGAGACACACACGGGCTCACGCACCGTGCGCGCGTGAGCGCAGGCAATTTCCGCTGCAATTTTTCGTGCTCTGCCCCCCCGCCCCCTCCCATGCCTCCCCCCCACCCCAACAATTCACCCTCCCCTCCCCCCCGATTCCACTCCCTCCCTCCCCCGACCGCGCCGCTCATAATTGATCGCCGCAGCTCTCCTCCCCCTCTCGTCACGGCTCCCGTCTCCCTCCTCCTCCCCCGCCTTCATCTCTACAACTCCACATCCATCCTCCTTCTCCATTGCTCAGCAGCAGCAGTCGCCATGAGCTATCTACTGCTGGATAAGAGCCTCACCCAGGCCACCGCCATTCCTTCGTTTCTCGGCGCGGTTTTTCCACGGTCGCCGCTTATCAATCCATAGCGGCGGGCACGTGACTCCAGGCCGCGGCCACAGCGAGATGAGTTAATGATGTGGTGTGCCGGGTTCGGACAGAACCCTGGCTGACAATTGTCGGAGTTCGTCGCTCCGTCTCCCCAGTGGTCGTCCGCTCGGGCTCGTTCCCTCCCTGGGCTCTTTTATTCGTGATGTTTTTAACCTTCGAGATTTCTTTAAAAAAAATGCGTTTGTTCCGATTAATATTTGAAAGGAATATTTGCGTGAATGTTTTTGTTTGGTTGTGCTTTCGATGTTCTCGTTAATTTGTTGTTGTTGTTTCGTGTGGAGCCTATGGGGGGTCACACGGGGGAGGCGGAGTGAGGCTCCCACACTCCCCGCGTCACGCTCAATCACCGGTTGCAGTCTCCTCGACTCTCCCTTCCATGTCAGTGTCTCTCCCTAATCTCCTTGGATCTCCCTCCTCCCAACAGGCCCCTATATCTCCCTATATCTTCCTCCATCTTCCTCCATCTTCCTCCATCTCCCTCCTTCCTGCAGCTCCTCACATCGCCCTCCCACCCGTCTCGTCTTGTCTGCATATTTCCCCGTCTCTATCCAGCTACCTTCATCTCTCTTCATATCCCACCAGTCCCCCTTCCCATCTCATCATGTTTCACCTTCCCTCGCCTTCCTCCAGGACCCTGCGTCTCGTTTCTTCTTCAGCTCTCTCTCGTCCATGTTTCCCTCTCGGTCCAGCTCCTTGGCACTCCCCTCCATCTGTTCCCTCCATCTCTGCCTCTCTTTTCATCTGTTGTAGCCTCCCCGCCCCGGAGTAATCGCCCTCCGTCTCTATCCAAGTTTACATCCCCCACACCCTCCCTCGGCTCCATTGCTCCCCACTTCTCCCACCCTTTTACACTTGCTATGCTCCCAATCACCTCGCATTCTCTCTTCTTCAACTCCGCTGCACTCTCCTCTCTCTCCCACGCTCTCCCGTCTCATATCCCCTCCTCGGTGCACTCTCCCGCTCTCTCTCCCCGTTCTCCTCTCTCATCGTCCCCATGCAGTCCTCTGATCTCTCTCCCATTGTATCCCACTTTCTCCCACTCTCCCATTCTCTTGCTGTCGCTCACCTCTCCCACACTCTCTCTCTTACCCTCTCCCTCCGCTGCTGCCTCCCCCTCCTAATTGATTAGCTGTCAAGTAAATTAACCCCCTGCTCCCAAGCCACACCGCGCCCATTCATCAGCGGCCAGGTCACCCCGCCCCTCACCCCCCCCCCCCCCCCCCGCGTCGCCAGCGGAAGTCGTGCGAGTGTGACGAGTCGCCCCCCGGAGCTGATTCATCTCCCGGATAGAGCGGATTGCTGCTCCACCGCAAAGAGAGGAGAATGTCGTACGGTCAACGCTCCCTTCAAGCCGGACTACTGGGCACGGTGGTGGGGGGGGGGGGAGAGACCACAACATATTAAGTGGAGGGTGTTGGGAGGAGGTTGACTGTCTGTGGTGCTCCCGGAGCCGCTGTTGTTGGGTTGTACCAAGTGTTGTTCATCACGATGTCCGACGTTTCATAACCACGTGCGGTCGGAGCAACTGCTGGAACTGTAGAAGCTCCTTGCACGCCTGCCCGCAGTGTGTGAGTAGGTACTACCATACTTTCCCCAAGGCGTCTTGGCCACCGTGGAAGAGTAGGCCAAAGGCCGGCTTCTCAGATGGGCCGGCTCTCTAGTGGGGAGGTCCTTGTGCCAGCAGTGACTTCAGCGCGGCAGTTGCGGAGCTGCCCCTTGACCTCTCGCATTCACCGTGGGTCACGTTGAAATTTGACCCACGGAGAGTGGTAAAACCCGCCCCCGGAGTTTTGCGTGATTTAAACAAAGGCTGCCGGTTTAACGTAAGACTGGGGCTGGAGAGCGTGGAGCGGTGGGGCAGCGGTTAGCGCATCGCCGTTCTCGCTAGCAGCGCGACACATGCCCCGGCAGCCTGTGTAGGCTGGACAGGGCATCTTTGCCTGTGGTGTGTGTCTGTATGACTTAAACCCGCGTTGTGTTTGTCTTCCCTGTTGGTTCAGGCGCCTGTGCTGGGAGCAGCCGAAGCCATCCCTGCTGACGGTGAGTGACGCAGTATGGACCAGCTACGCGGAGACACGGGGAGACACGGGGAGACACGGGGAGACACGGGGAGACACGGGGAGACACGGGGAGACACGGGGAGACACGGGGAGACACGGGGAGACACGGGGAGACACGGGGAGACACGGGGAGACACGGGGAGACAGGCGGAGATACGGGCAGATACGGGGAGATACGGGGAGATACGGGGAGATACGGGGAGACACGGGGAGACACGGGGAGACACGGGGAGACAGGCGGAGATACGGGCAGATACGGGGAGATACGGGGAGACACGGGGAGGCTGGTGGGCTGGGTACCTCCAGGTGTCTATGGGTATCCACGGGTGGACCCGCATGTACCCCCGTATCGGGTCTTCGGACTTCCACCCAATGCAGGGCTGTAGACGTGGGTGGCTGTGGCTAAAAGGGCCTAGCCCCCACCTCTCAGAGCTCTTCATCTGTTGAGTTATTCAGGAATGGTGGCAAATGTGTCCGAGAAGCACGTCCACGGAGCGGACGGAGCAACGAAACCAGTTGCGACACACCGGCGCGAGTGGATTGGTTGTCGTCACAACATCGTTGGAGGTGGTGGCGGCGGCTGCTTGGGGGAAGTCTTCATCCAGCAGTGGATTGAGAATGGCCGCTGACGAAGATGATGCTTCTAACGGCACGGTTTCTCTACGGTGGTTGTTGTTCCCGCGCTCGTCTGGTAGAGCCGGGCGACGGCCGCTTCATCATCGTCATCATCAGGGAGGGAGGGAGGGGATGTGCGGTGACGCGGTCCGTCGCTGGCCACGTCCGCACACGGCACATTGTTGTGGTCACGATGGACCCAGGTGTGGAGGGCGGTTAGCCCCACGTGGGGGGGCCCCTGGGGCAAACCGCGGGCCCTGCTCACGGCCGCTCGAGTCCGGCAAAACAACCGGCGGGGCCGGCGACGAGCGGGGCGGCTCCCGGTGTCGTGGGCCCAGGTCGCCTCGGTGCCGCCCACGAATCCCAAGTGTGGCGCGTGGTACCGGCACGCCGCCCCTCGGAGGGCGGGGTGGACTCGCGCCATCGGTTGAACCCGCCGCGGTTTACTTCGGCGAGGACGATCGTAGGCGTTGATGCGGCCGTGCCGTACAGAGCCCTCCCTGAAGGAGCTGCCGGCATGCGGAGCGAAACGTCGGACGTCGTCGCCGGTCCGACCCGACAAAACACATCGGAGAGCCGGACGCCGATCAGTGTCCAAACACAAAGGGGTACAGTGGCGCCGACGTCATCGTCCGTGATGACCTCTTGACCTTGGAACTTGACTGCTTCCCCAGTCACCCAAAGGATCTACTTCTGAATGGGGGGGAACACGCGGGATGTGGAGGGGGGGGGGGACAGCAGCACCTTGTTCTGCACAGGGACAGCTGCCACCAGGGGGGGTAGTGGAAGGTCCCCTTGGCTAAAAATGAAATTGTTTTGGGGGGTGCAATTTAAATGATGCAAGTCGTTGTTTTTGCTGTTTATTAGAGGGGGGTGTTGTGTGAACAAACCCCCCTGCCCCCTCCTTCCCAGACCACTCATTACAATCACTTCGTCTCTCCCCCTTTGTCATTGCAGTGGACCAGTGGCATTACCTGCAGCAGTCCAACCACTGCTGATGACGTCACCTCCTGTCACGTGACACCGGTCGATGGTGGCGGAAGCTTGGGGCCGTTTGGGGTGGGGGGCTGCTGCCATGACGGCGTCATCCCGGGCGCTGGCGCGACATTAGCGACGCGTACCTCCGTCATGATTGAATTCACGTAGCAATCCTTACGTATTGTAGTAACTTAACTCTGGTGGTACTTAGCTGAGATAGACTACGCACCACACTCTGCTCACTCTGCGCCCCCCCCCCACCACTGTCGTTCCATCGGTGGGGGGCTGAACAGAGGTGGACGGGGAGGGGTGGTTGGGTTGGGAGGGGGGCGGTTGGGGACCGTGGGGGATAGGATGGAGGCATTTACAGGGCTGCCGTAGCATGGCTTGTGAGAGGGGGGAGATGGTCATGGTGGGGGAGACGGTCATGGTGGGGGAGACGGTCATGGTGGGGGAGACGAATCCCAGGGGGTGCCCCCAGCACTCCCGGGGTCATTGGCTTCATGGGGCAGCACACACCCCTACACACCCACCCCTACACACACACCCCTACACACACACCCCTACACACCCACCCCACCCCTACACACCCACCCCACCCCTACACACCCACCCCTACACACCCACCCCACCCCTACACACCCACCCCTACACACCCCCCTACACACCCACCCCTACACACCCACCCCACCCCTACACACCCACCCCTACACACCCACCCCACCCCTACACACCCACCCCACCACACCCACCCCACCCCTACACACCCACCCCTACACACCCACCCCACCCCTACACACCCACCCCACCCCTACACACCCACCCCACCCCTACACACCCACCCCACCCCTACACACCCACCCCACCCCACCCCTACACACCCACCCCACCCCTACACACCCACCCCACCCCTACACACCCACCCCACCCCTACACACCCACCCCACCCCTACACACCCACCCCACCCCTACACACCCACCCCACACCCACCCCCCCCCTACACACCCACCCCTACACACCCCTACGCAGACACACCCCTACGCAGACACACCCCTACGCAGACACACCCCTACGCAGACACACCCCTACGCAGACACACCCCTACGCAGACACACCCCTACGCAGACACACCCCTACGCAGACACACCCCTACGCAGACACACCCCTACGCAGACACACCCCTACGCAGACACACCCCTACGCAGACACACCCCTACGCAGACACACCCCTACGCAGACACACCCCTACGCAGACACACCTACGCACACACCTACGCACCCACCCCTACACACCCACCCCTACACACCCACCCCTACACACACACACCCCTACACACAGACACACCCCTACACACACACACACCCCTACACACACACACCCCTACACACACACACACCCCTACACACACACACCCCTACACACACCCACCCCTACACACACCCACCCCTACACACACCCACCCCTACACACACCCACCCCTACACACACCCACCCCTACACACACCCACCCCTACACACACACACACCCCTACACACACACACACCCCTACACACACACACACCCCTACACACACACACACCCCTACACACACACACCCCTACACACACACACCCCTACACACACACACCCCTACACACACACACCCCTATACACACACACACCCACCTACACACACACACCCACCTACACACCTACACACACCTACACACGCACCCATACACACACACCTACACACCCACCCCTACACACCCACCCCTACACACCCACCCCTACACACCCACCCCTACACACAAAAACAAAGATCCCCCATATAGCCTTAACAGACTGTAGGGGCAAGTGCTGTTAGCGAGCACCTATGAAGGCCGGAACGGTATACGAGGGGGTGGGTGGCCAGGACCACGCCCGACCGCCTTTGTCTCCCTAGTGGCAATATTTACACACTGCACCAGGTACTCATTTGAGGCTGAGTCGACCTAGGGGAGGCCCGGGACCGGTTCATATAATCGTCACTGGTGTTGGCCGTCAGCGGGAAACGAACCCGGGTCACCAGGTTCATAGCGCAGCGCGCTAACCGCTACACTATCGCTCCCCACTCACACACACACACATCCCTACACACCCCTACACACACCCCTACACATACCCCTACACACACCCCTACACACCCAACCCTACACACACACACCCCTACACACCCAACCCTACACATACACCCCTACACACCCACCCCTATACAAAGATAAAGATCCCCCATATAGCCTTAACAGACTGTAGGGGCAAGTGCTGTTAGCGAGCACCTATGAAGGCCGGAACGGTACACGAGGGGGTGGGTGGCCAGCACCACGCCCGACCGCCTTTGTCTCCCTAGTGGCAATGTTTTTATCCACCGCACCAGGTACTCATTTGAGGCTGAGTCGACCCACCCCTACACACCCACCCCTACACACACACACCCCTACACACACACACACCCCTACACACACACACCCCTACACACACACCTACACACCCACTTCTACACACCCCTACACACACACACCTCTACACACACACACCTCTACACACCCCTACACACACACACCTAAACACCCCTACACACCTCTACACACCCCTACACACACCCCTCCACACCCCTAGACACACACTCACACATCTACACACCTCTCCACTCTCAAAAGACCAGACTAGGAGTCTCATTTGCAAGAGTGACTTGTGGTCACCAAAATTACAAATGCAGAGGAAATACAAAATAAAGTACAGCAATGGAAGAAATAGCAATCAGATTAACAGCAACCACTGCACGAGCAGTCCCACACCACCTTGCAGATATCGTGGTAGAGTCCACACCGGTGTGTGAGTCTCTGAGATTCACACACTGGTATGAGTCTCAGAGACTCACACCAGTGTGTGAGTCTCTCTGACTCACACCAGTGTACGAGTCTCTCTGACTCACACTAGTATGTGAATCTCTGAGACACACACACTTGTATGAGTCTCTCTGACTCACACCAGTGTATGAGTCTCTCCGACTCACACCAGTGTGTGAGTCTCAGACACTCACACCAGTGTGTGAGTCTCTGAGACACACACACTGGTGTGAGTCTCTCTGACTCACACCAGTGTGAGGCTCTCTCAGACTCCAGTCCTTGGGCCTCCACACCCTGCCATGCTCCCCTTTTAGTGGTGACCAATGCTTTTATATTCGTATGCAAATCCAGCCCCTGCACACACTGCACCCACCGGGTGCTTGGTCATCGCGGAGAGATGCACCCTGGTGGCGGAGCCGGGGGGTGTGCAACGGCACGGCTGCCCACAGTGAAGGTGGTGGCTGGGGCTCAACTTCATTTTGGGGGGCAGGTGCCCCCCAAAAATGCGACTTTTTTGTTTTGTTTTAGCCAAAACATTGTCCCGGTCTCCTCCCCACTCCCACAAATTAATATCTGAATATTTTAAATTGTTAGTTCGTTATTAATTTAATAATTGTTTAATTCTTTGGCCGGTGGATGTGCTACGTTGTCTGTTGTGAGAAGGGGGCAGTGCAGTGACAGCGTGAAGTGTGGCCAAATACCGTCCCTAACCCTCCTCCAACACGACCCTCTTATCCAGCAGTGTACTGACGAAGGTCCGGACATAATATATTAATATATTAATTACCAACCAGCGTTGCTGAGTTAATGGTCTGGAGCGACTTTTCTCCCCTGTATTTTCTCTTCTAACTTTCCACCTCGTCGACTGCACAGACTGTGGATGTGGACTGCACCACTCATCACGGGGGGGTCGGGGGGAGGGGGAGTGTTGGTTGACTTCTGGCTGCTCAGGCACCACGTTTTACAACCACGTGACCCCCCACGCGCGTCATAACGAGCCACGTGTTACAATGATCATAACACACGTATCGTACCGACGCCTAGCACGTGTTATAGCGGCCCGGTATGCTCTAACGCCCATTATAACGCGCGTTAGAGCGTTGTAAATGATTCTCGTGTGGCACAGGGTGCTCTAAAAATAATGTTGGCGGTGGATTTTACCGTCGTGCTCCGCACATAGCGGGGAGGTGAGGGGATGGGTCGGAAGGAACCCCAAAAATTGAAAACCTGGTAAATAAAAGTCAAATCTCACTTCAAAAGCTCGAGAATCTTAGGGCGTGCAAAGTAATGCTGACTACTGGGGCTACCCTGCCCTGAGTTATCCCGCTATTTGGAGGATGCACCGCATTGGCCTTGGCACGTGTTCTCCACAACGTGTCAGAACCACTCCCGGCACGTGTTAAGTTCCCCCTCCCCCCCGTTATATCATTGCACCCCGTAAACTACCCCCTGCGACCGTGGCAGTGTGGTTCGAGAATTGGTGGGTGCGTCTCGTCGACTTCCTGTGGCTCAATAAATGGATGGATACAATTACAACTCCAACTATAGCAGTGTGCATTGTACCGCGTGTTAGTGGCACCACGGACTCGCAGAGACACTCACCTGGAGACCCACACACTTACATCGAGACGTACGCACCTGGAGACCCAAGCACCTATATTAGAGATCCAAATACTCACCTGCAGACCCAAACAGTTACAAAGAGACCCACATAGGCACGTGGAGACCCACATAATCACATACACACCCGGAGACTCGCCTGGAGACTCACAGACTCACACAAAGACCCGGAAACTCACATAGACAACCAGAGACTCACGCACATGTGGACATAGCGTCTGAATTTGACCACATCTGAAGACAGAAGCAAGGGGGGTGTTTGTTATTCAATGCAGAGAGGTGGTCAGTCACAGCCAGAGCAGAAGAGGAAGGTCCCAAGCCTGGACTTCAATCGATCAACCCAAGATTTGCGAATACCCACACTTAACCCCACCACAGGCGACCTATGCATGGATCGACTAAATGTGGTGCAGACATACCGTGGACAAGAGGCGAGGGTAGAAATCAAATGAAAGTCTATTTGCACCGCCGTTGTTTTTATTTATTGCCACGCTGGGAGATCGAATCGAACCGGCGACCTCTGGGGTCGTAAGCCCTGCCTGCTGCAGAACCCTCTTGAGAAGGGCGTTTTGAGAATCGGTACTGAGGCACCCAGGGAAGGAGGAGGAAGGAAGAGGATGTGGGATGATGAGGAGGAGGATATGGGAGGAGGTAAGAGGATGTGGGATGAGGAGAGAGGAGGAGGGAGTAGGGGGGAGGAGAGCGCGATCCCCGAACTTGACGCACACGCTGAACTCCCGGCCACGTTTGTCTCCAATTTAACAATCGCGCCGTGTCTCGCCCGCCGCTGTAAATTTAACTCGAGTTTATTAATTTAATTCTCCCCGCGCGACGACAGCTGAGACTGGAATTTTAAAAGCCCCCCCCCCCGAACCCGACCCCCCCCCCTCTCCACCGCTCCCTTCCCCCACGCGTTTTTTCGCACGGGATGAGCCAGTGATTGAGTGAATTAGTGAGCGAACGAGGGAGTGAGTGGGTGGGTGAATGAATGGGTAAGTGATTGAGTGAATTAATGAGTGAGCGAATGAGAGAGGGAGGTCGTGGACGAATGATTTAGTGAATCCGTGATTGTGTGAATTCATGAGTGAGCGAATGAG